AAAAAATGTAGCCAAAAAATGCCTGTGGATTGCCATAACAAAATTAGCTCTGAGGTGACATTTTTTATCTCCATTTCCAGCTTGATGATTATCATTTGGACTGTATGTTCTTTGTGTATTGATTCTTGGGTTGGTGCATCGTGATTCTGCATATGACTCAAGTTCCATCGTACAGCACAGCTGCCCAGATATCTTGGCCACAACATTCTGCATGCATAGAGGTGCAGATGAGTTTGGCCCATATTTTTGCTCCCTCCTGTAGATGCTACTATACTTTTGCTCATCCATAGTTCCCCTGCATTGGGCTGAGTACTATGTACTAATACCACCAATAGTAGGTTCCCCATAAGATGAGGTATAGCCACAGTAATGAAACCTGCAAAAAAGCAACCTATGTTAGTGATAAAATTCATCCTCAAGATCTCTTCCAAGTGGATTTGATCCTGATGGATGTGTGAAGTTGCCTCCACATATGTGTTGTTTCTTCCCTCGATGTTTGCCTGACCCCTTGTATGAATTGACCTGATAATGATCTTCAGGCCATTAGAATCCATCAGCAGAGAATGAAAGTCTGCTGCATTCCAGAGATTGCAGCTATAACTGCCCATTTCCAGCTTGTTCACTATCTTTTTGAATGGCCTTTTTACATGTTTTGATCCCTGGGATGCTGAATTGTGAATCTGCATATGCTTCGTGACCCATAGTATAGCATTCCTGCCCAGAAAACTTGGCCCTAAATTGCTGCATGCATGATAGTGGACACAGCTAACCAAAACTGCCCACAGAGTTGCTCTTGTAATTTTCCAAAATATCCATCTCATGCTAGTGCATGTCGCCTTTCCTTCTTCAAGGGAATGAGCACTAAGTGCTAATACCACCCATAGAAGTCGATGAGTGCCATGGCATGAGTATAATATCGATCCCTGCAAAAAAGAACACATGGTTAGTGAAAAAATCGATGACCACCCTCTCCTCCTCAAGGATTTGAGGATGTTGATCCTGTTTGAAAACCACTTGCCCAGCCTTATTCTTTCCATTTCCTGCATATCCTCCATCACCTTAATCCTCTTATTCATTCCAATCCCATTCAAATATGACCCTCCCTTGAACCAGATTTGCTCTATAGCCATTCTATCCCATTTCTCCTTGTGTTGTCCCTTCTGTGCTAAGTACAGAATTTTTCTCCTGGCTTTAGTCTCAATTTTCCTCCTGTTGTTGTGTGTTATCCCCCAGTTTGCCTGACTCCCTGTATCCACTATACTCCCATTGCCTCCAACTTTGTCCTCTAATCCATACTGCCCAATTCGAATTCTGAGCATAGGATCAATTATTGATGCTGAAATTTGCCAGTGACATCTGCTGCTGCTGCAAATGAACAGCAGAGTGTCCTTCCTTGTAGCTGCACACATGCCTGCCTTTAACTTCCTATCAATAGGTTGAGTGCATAGCACTAATACCACCATTTGATATTCTATCAAAATACATGACATATATACAAAACCTTGTCCTGCAAAATAAAGAAACATGTTATAGAAATTTTGTTCTCACCATGTACTCCTCCCTTAAGATTTGTACATGATGCTCATCACAGAACTTCTTCACACCCTTCATCCTTGCCTCCATCAACCTCAGCTTTTTGCAACCTTCACCCGCAGATATGGACATTGGAGTTTGTCTTCATTCACAATTCTTCGACCTTGTATATCTAGCTGCCAAAAGCCATAACATTCAATCCCTCCTACATCCATGGCATAGTTTGCAAGGTGATCAGCTAGTTTATTTCCTTCCCTGAAAATATGTGTTATTTTGTAATTTCCCCTGCCCATCAGCTGCCATATCTCCTCCATCTGCTCCACTATACACCAAGGAGGCTTCCACCTACGTTCAAAAATGTTCTTTAGCAGCAAAGAATCAGTTTGCAGCCAAACATTTCTGTAACTGTGGTCAGAACATATTCTCAATGCCTCCAAAATTGCATTTGCTTCAGCTTCAATATTGGTTGTCTCATTAATCTCCTTCCTAAGAGCATATACAATGTCTCCAGCCTCATTCCTCACACACACTCCAATTGAACTCCTCCCCGGATTCCCTCTAGATGCACCATCAGTATTCACCTTTACCCAACCCTCACTAGGCTTCTCCCAAAAGACTTTTTCATATTTTAGTCTAGGAGTATAATTTTCTAGCATAATCAGAAGGTCGTGCCACTTATGAGGGACATTACTAATGCCTGGCTTTCTTACTCTTACAAATGCTTGTAGAGAAGAAGATACCTGGTATATAACCCTACTAATTGTGACTGTCTCCCCATATTATAGTTGTTCCTCCTTTTCCACAGCTCCCAAATTATGCAAGATGGAAGAGCTTGCATAATAGGCTTAACTAGGCAGCACATCCGCAGTCCAACATCTTGTAATCGCCTGCTGCATAGTTAACCCCTCTAGTCGGATTCCTGCTCTAGATAGGAAGTAATTCCATACTCGCTTTGCAGCATGAGATGTGAAAAAAAGATGTGGCAATGACTCCTTCTTTGGTTCTATGCAGCACCAACAGCGAGATGGCATAAAGTAACCTAGCCTTCGCATAAAATCATCAAGAGGCAGCTTAGCCTTCCACACTTTCCACATAAAAAATGCTATCTTGAATGGCAAACCCTTCACCCAAATCATTTTATATGCAAGTCTTTGGTCATTCCTTCTCCTCAAATACTCCCAAGCAGATTTGACAGTAAAATTTCCACGAGTTTCTAGCATCCAGTAAGGTATATCCAGCGTATTATCCATCACTGGAGGTTTGATCTTTTCCAGTACATGAATAGCAAATTCCATAGGAAGTGCTTCTTGAATTTTCTCCACATGCCACAGACCATTCTCTACTACATCATAAACATAATGGATGGATTCATCTATTCCAAAATCAGGAGGAACTAAGAAATAAAGGGCTCCCAAACCTGTCCAATTATCAAACCAAAAGAGTGATGATCCCATCTTAAGTTGCCATGTGATTTGGTGTTCAATAAGATCCCTGCATTCCAGCATTCTCCAGATATGAGACCCCTCCCTCCAAGGAACAATCATAGCATTTAATTTTTTGCAGTATTTTTGGCTCATGAAAGAACTCCATAGGCTAGGCTTAGTTCTAAAATTCCACCACAGTTTACAAAACAAAGCCTTTGACACATCATGCAATGATCTAAAACCAATGCCCCCCTCTTCACACGGCATACACAAGGTATTCCACGATGCCCAGTGCCTACTGGTACCTCCTATGGTGCTGCTCCAGAAAAACTGTGCAAATATCTTGTGCAATTTGTTTATGACATAGTGAGGGGGATTGACAGCTGAAAGTAAGTGGATTGACATACTCTGCAATACGTGTGAAATCAAGATTGCCCTGCCTCCTATTGACAACAACTTCCCTTTCCAGGCTTGTAGTTTATCCATGACCTTAGTGATCAAAGCTTGATAATAATCCATCTTCCTGCGTGAGTAAAAGATAGGGCATCCAAGATATGTAAAAGGAAAATCCTTTCTTCCAATTCCAGTGACTCTTTCAACCTTTGTGACCACCTCCATGTCCACCAAATGATGCATATAAACTGCAGATTTGCTCTTGTTCACTAACTGACCAGATGCTAGTTCATAAGCATTCAGCACTTCCATTACCAACCTAAGCGAAGTAGCATCAGATGAAGTAAATATGATTGTGTCATCCGCATATGCCAAGTGATTTATTTTTGGACTCCACTTAGGCAAACCATATCCACAAAAATATAGATTAGAATGCAACAAATTTAGACCCCTAGAAAGTGCTTCTGCAGCCAAGATAAACAATATTGGAGATAAGGGATCCCCTTACTTGACACCCCTCGTTGACTTGAAAAAACCATACGGTTGGCCATTTATAAGCACAGAATACCAATTATTTGACACAATTCCAATCCTCAGAACTTTTGTTAAGAATAGCCAGGAGAGCCTATCATACGCCTTAGTCATGTCCAGCTTTATGACTACATTAGGCCCTGCCTTTGTTCTCAATCTAATGTCAGTTATAATTTCCTGTGTCAACAGTACATTCTCAACAATGCTCCTTCCTTTTACAAATCCAGCCTGCTCCTCCGAAATAATATTAGGAAGAAAATCAACTAACCTTTCATGAATAACCCTTGAAATAATCTTGTTCGAAAAGTTGCTAAGGCTTATGGGCCTCAGGTCTGAGAAAGTTGTCACCTCCTTCTTCTTTGGTAATAACACAAGATTGATGTGAGTTATGCATTTGGGCAGTTCATGTCCATTGAAGAATGCCCTAACCATATCAAATATGTCATCCCCAATGATATCCCAACACGAATGGTAGAAACAGCCTGAAAAACCATCTGGTCCACCTGCACTCTCTCCGTTTAATCCAAGAACTGCTTTTTTCACCTTATCTTTGGTTGGAAGTCTCATTAGTTCTGCATTCTGCTCATTATCTATTAACGTAGGGATATGATCAAGTATGTGAAATTCTGATGGGATCGAATTTTCAGTGAATTGGTCTTGGAAAAACCTCACTGCCTCTTCTGCAATCTCATCCTCCTGTTCAATCCAAGCACCAGAACTATCCTGGATTCTTTTGAGTTGCAACTTCTTCCTTCTACCATTTACATGTGCATGAAAGAATTTCGTGTTTCGATCTCCTTCCTTGAACCATTGCATCCCTGACTTTTGCTTCCAAAATTCTTCTTCAATAGCAAGATACTTGATCATATCTGCCTGCACTCTTTGCAACCTTTCTCTGTTATACTGAGTAGGAAAGGCTTCAAACTGAGCTTCATGAACCATTACCACCTCTTCTAGGCTAGAAATTTTTTGAAATATATCTCCAAAGATAGCCTTACTCCACACAGATAATGCTTTCTTCAACTTCTTTAACTTATGATTAAACATAACAAAAGGATTGGCATAGAAATCAACATTCCAATTTTCCTTAACCACCTCCTTAAAGGATTCATGTTTGGTTCAGAAATTCAAGAACCTGAAAGCCTTCTTCACAGGTGCAACTTCTATGTCATACTTCAGCAACAAGGGACAATGGTCTGATCCTATTTTAGGCAGATGAGTGACCTCCAAATCAGGGAAGGTTTGCTGGAATTCCATGTTGCCAAAACAACGATCAAGTCTCTTAAAAATGCAGTCTACATCCGCTCTCCCATTCCACCATGTAAATATGCTACCTTTGAAGCCCAAATCTGTTAGGTTACATGTGTTTATACAATGTCGAAAGTCATCAATCTCATTTAATGAGACTGGTAGTCCTCCAAACTTCTCCTCCTCGTCCGAAATCACATTGAAGTCCCCTCCGACAAGCCAAGGAGTTGTCATGTCTCTTGCTAAATAGTATAATGAATCCCACAGCTCAATCCTCTCAATGGGGTCACATTTGGCATACACTAGTGTTAAAATGAATTCCACATGAGTTTCTGTGTGAAATAACCTTAATGTCAACTGCTGAACCATGTCATATATGATAGTAACATCAAACACCTCGTCTATGAACACCCAAATTTTGTTGGATACATTAGCAATGGCTTGTGCAAATCCAATTCTTCTTCTGTACAATTCCAGTTTCCTCGCTTGTTGCTTTGGTTCCATGAGCCCAATAAACTCAAAATGGTGCTGCCTATTCATTGTAACGAGCCTCTCAAACGCCTGCATGGTCTTTACTGACCTTATATTCCATAAAAGATCATCCATTAGAGGTTAGTTGATTTTGAGAATGTCCTCCTTGTTTGAACACCAGTTACAGGAACAATTGAAGATTCCTTAACTGGATCCTTAGTAGTCTTTTTCCTCCCTTTAGAAGCTGCTTTAACCTTGTCCATATGCCTGGGAGATAAATCACCTTGTCTTGCAACATTTCTAAAATTTTGAGCAATAGACTGTTCATCCAGATCCTTTCCAGAAATTTCAACATGTTCACCTGCTACTTGACCATGGATTTCATTTGTACCTACTGCATTAACCTGATCCCCATCAGCAATAGATTTGACACCATATTGCTGCACTATGTTCTGAATACCCTCCAATGGAACAGTGTTGTGTTCTTTTGATCTCTGCTTGCTCCCAGCTGTAGCACTTTCCTTTATTTCTTTGTTGATCTCCTCAGGAACAATAGCAGTTCCACCTGGATCTCCCATATTGACATTGATATCTTTAGGATTCACTGCATCATCAATAGGATTTTCTACTTCTGCTACAGTAATTTCTGCTGCAGCATTCACCTGATCTGCATCTCCAGTTGTCACATTGTTCTCACCTGTAGGCATTGAATTTTCCTGCACCTTGCTCACCTGAGTTTCTTCTTTGCTATTCTGCTCCTCACCATTTACACTTTTTCTTCTTCTCTAGCTTCAACATCTGAATCTCTTTCTGCTACCATACGATCAGGAATGAGTCCTTCATCTGGATCTTCTTCTATCTGCTTGCTCCACAGCTTACCACCTGACCACTTACCATTCCCTTTTGCTGCAATATCTTCTCCATCTAATTCTGTTTCATCATCTTCCATTGTTTTCTTTTTCTTTGCCAAATTACTTTCCACCCTTGTGTCTTGAGATGGTACATCCTTATATAATGTGTTAATACCTACAGCACTGCCTGCAAATGTTCTTTGAACCCAATGTGAAGTAGACTCCTTATTGGTTGGTTCCCCATTCTTTTTTTCATTAGGACTGTTGACTCCTCCATTCTTTGCTGCCTCACTTCCCATAAATGTAGGATTAAAAGTAGGGGCAGCATGATTCAACCCTTTCCTGTTTCCAGTAGGAGAAGCTTTTTTAGGACTTTTACTACCTTGTCCTCGAGTCTTTTCCTTGTTTGGTGAATTATTCTCCATATGTACCATTTCCTGCACTTCTTCCACAATAGCCAACGGTTTATTTTGATCATTCCCTTCCTCAATGCTTTCCAATGCTGCAAACTTGTTAGAAACTTGAACTTGCTTTTCCCTTTGAGTTTGTTGGACCTTGACATTACCTGCTAGAACAATTTCTTTCCCTGTTTGACCATGTTCAACAGCAGTCTTAGCACCATTTTTGATACGATTATCTCTCACCTCCTTCCATTGTTCACTAGATGCATTAGGATTCCCAACAACTTTCCCACTCGATAAAATCATAAATGGCTGATTCACATTTGCAGAAGCATTGCCTTTCTCTACTTGCTTTTCAGTACTAGCCTTATGATCAACAGGTCCATTCTCTGGATGAAGCCTCCAACACTCAAACATGTCATGGCCTTGTAATTTGCATTCTTTACAATACTTAGGTAAATAATCATACTTAATGTTTACCCACTCAGTGCGAACCTCACCAGCTTCCTCATTAACAATATCCATGCGGACCTTCTTCGGTAGATCAGCTAGCAAATCAACAAGCACCTTCACACGAGCACAACTAGGCCTAGTTTTCTTAACTGTTGCTAGATCAAGATGTTGTGGTACACCAACTGCTGAAGCAAGCGAAAATAGACATTCCTTGACAAAATATGTTGGCAGCAAATTAGGAAACGATATCCATGCCATCACCTTTGGTGTTTCCTCTTCAACTTTAAATTTTGCATCATAAATTAAAGTTCTCAACTGATACTCCTCCCCATGTTTATCCTTAACGTAATACACACCCTTTGACGAAAAATCTACATAATCTTGCCATAATGTAAAACGTATCAATATGTGCCTATCACGTAAATACCCAATGTTACACTCACTTTTGATACCACATTGCATAGGAACAATGCGACGAATTTCATTAATATCTGGCCACCCGTATGAAAACTTGCATACAACTGCGTATTGTAGTCCTTCCATAATAATCATCCGTTCCACCTCATATTCTGTAAAACACAGAGTTGGCTGCCCTTGAAAGATTTTGGCACGCCTGAGTGTAATTGGTTCCACTGCTGGTCTTTGATCGTGCATGGCAGAATTAGACGCAGGTTTCACTACCTTCGCATAATTCATGACTTGTGGCTCGTTTGATGTCGTAGAGGGCTGGGGATCGTTGATTATGGTAGTAGGGGGCTGGGCAGAGGTGAGGGGGGGCTGACCAGCCAGAAAATCTGGCTGGCTGCCGGCCGGCGTGGCCATTGGAGGAGCTGCGATGTTTTCTCTCTCTAATCGCCAATTTTTCTCCAGAGCTTCTCTCTCTAAACTCCTCACGCGTCGTTCAATTCTCTGGGGTTTGTTAACTAGGTCCTTAGGATTTTAATTCAGGTTTTTATTTTTAAAAGAAAAGAAAATTATATACAAAAAAGGAATTAAATAAGAAAGGAAAATAAAGAAAAAAGAGAAAAATCTGGCCTGTTACAAATTTTGGGCCATTTATTTGGTTCAAAATGCCAGCCCAAGCTTTAAACCCCTGAGATCTGTTTAAGCAGCCCATACCCAGCCCAAATTCTACCCGGTCCAGTACCCTAATTCCCCAAACGACGACGTTCCGCTCCTCAGTTGATCTCAACCGTCGAGGTTGATTGATCCAACGGTTGAGAACTGAGGAGCCCTTCATATATATATGTCCTAACATACCCTACCCCCCTCAGAACCCCCTACCCTCTCGTCTCTCAAACCTCTCCCAAGCTAACCCTAGTTTCGCCCGATTCCGCCGTCTGCCGCCCGCCGGAATTCGCCAACGGCGGCAGTCGGCGGCCAATCATTCCCAAATTCACACCAAAAACTCCTCTCACCCTCCTCATACCCATGACACCATTAATTTCCCTCAAATCTCACTAGAATTCCCCAAACATCCCAAACCCTAGCGCCGCCATGGACTCCTCCGCCGCCCACGGCGGCGCCACCACTCTTTCCCCCTACCAAATCAACACCCGACGACCACCTCCTTCCCTTCATCCCAAATATCTGCCTAGCTTCCTACAAATACCCTAAAAAACCTTCGAATTTCAAATCTAAGCCCCAGGTCCTAGGCTGAAAATCAGAAGGCTCACACATTCCAAGATCCTTGGCCTGTTTCATCTTGGGATGATGCTTTCGTCTATTCATCATAAAGAACCGACGATTTATATCCTTTCAAAGTCAAAACAGAGTTGTTCTTCATATTTCAAGCCCAAACTAGTAAGCTTTCCTTTATTTAGTCATTTTTTTATTTTAATTGTTTGTTTTGTGTTCTACGCCCACAATTGGAATCACTAGCTATAGGTTTCTGATTTTGTTACAACCACATGGCTTATTTCCGTTTTGTCACCTGCTGTTTATGTGATTTCTTCTGATTTAATTGCTCCCGTTCAGTATGATTGTTTGTTTTGATTTGCTTATTTACTGTTCTTTTTAGTTTAGTTTAGTAATAAAATTAGTTCTATGATCCACCTTAATTAGTATTAGTTTAGTGTAGCTATTTTCTTCAGTTTGATTCAAGTTCTTTTGCCCTTAGTTAGGAATTCAGATTAGTAAATAGGATTTAGGTTTTGTTTTTAGATCAGTAGGCCTATCAGAACTAGGTCACTTGGCCAGACCATGGTTTGATAAACTTTAGTAATTTCAGGGGTATTCAGGGGTATTTTGGACACTTAAAATGGGTTAGAATGCTGTAGGCTAAACTAGAATATTCTAGAAGCTTCTAAAATAGGGCCTCAATTGTAGTTTCAGAAATTTAGTGGTATAACTTGGGTAACAAGTCAGTCCCTTAAGGACTTTAAGCTAAAAAAACTAAATATTAATAAGGGACTAAGGTGTAAAGGAAAAATCTGAAAGTTGCCCTAACTTTGCCTATAAAAAGGGCAGTACCCCTGCCTTGCAGAACAAGTTAGAGAGAGCTCCCAATATCTGAAAGTTCAAAATTCAAACATAGAGCTTAGAGAAATCAGAAAATTTCAAAAAAAAACCAAAAATTCGAATCAGAATTACTATTCCATTGAATTTCCTAGAGTGATCTTAGATTTCCAGTTTTGAATTAGCATTCCAACTGATCTAAAGTTGAAAATGGCCTGAGTCTTCTTCGTGTTTTAGTAGCTGAGGTTCAGAAGTTCCTAGGGTGGTTTTCGAGTTGTTTTTGGTTCATTCAAGGTGTTTCTGGTTTGTTTACTGGTGTTTGTTGCCTGAAATTACTCCTTGGATGATTTGATACCATTTCCTGGGTGTGGAATTCGTTTGAAATTACTGCTGCTGGTTGTTTCCTGCTACTGCTCTCATTCGCTACCTCCTGACTTGAATCTCCATTTGTTTTGGCCATATCCAGGTACATTTCTAACCTCAAGTGTTGTATGAAGACTAGATCCATATGTATGAACGCATTTGAAGAGAAATATAGAATAACTCCTTGTTCTTCGCATGAATCTGTTCTGGTCTATGTACTTAGACATTTAGTTCAATAGTGTTTTTTAGACTATTTGTCTATTTTGTATTAACTTAGACTATGGACTGTATAATTAGAACTTTTTTGGACTGTTAATAGACTGTTGGATTGTTGAACTTTCGGTCAGTCATTAGCCTTAGTAATTTCATTTTTGTGATTAGTTTAGTCATTAGCCTTAGTAGTAGAACAAAACTGATTCTAGATCTTCATTTGTAGTTAATCATCGGACATTCGAATTATTGTGAATAGTTAGCAAATGTCAGCTGTAGTATGAATTAATTCAGATTTGTTAAGTTACTGATTAGAAAAATTAAATTTAAACTGGGCTGCATGCTTATTAGTGTAAGATCA